CTTTTTGTTCCACCTTCTCGGTTTAACTTTGTTCGTGCTTCGTTCGCGTAGTTCTCATTCAAACATTCTCGTAATGCAATAATTGGAATGTGCTCTGGGTTCAAGTGTCAAGATGGCTTATTTTTGTGCAAAATTGTTTACATTGAAATTTACGTATTTGTGTGGCGACACAATTGAACAATGCAGTGCCCAATGCTGACAATTTTACTCTTATTATCTCTTATAATTTTATTCTCACGATAAGCCTCTTTGTGCGTGCGTTTGTTTCTAGTCGGGTATTTCACATATTTACAAATGCATTTCCTCTTCTCATACTTGTGGCCCGTCTCTGCATTGATTTACTACATCATTCAACTATTCTCATTCATTGACATTTTCCAGAACACGGTGAAGACTGACACCGGAATATACAAGTGCACGGCTAAGTACAAGTACGGATCGTGTTACGGTAGCGTGTCCGTGCAAATGTAACTCGATGGATAGCAATGGCAGCTGACTATATTACGCGTCTACTACAACACCGATCCGAGTTTTATCTGCATATTGATGCCATGCTCCGACGCACCTCGTATACTTCTGTGTTTTACCGCAGAATGGCGGCTTGAATTATTGGCGATTATGTATCCAGATATTGTATGATATTACATATTACTGACCGCCGTTCTTACTGTTTGTTTGTTTTGCGCAGCTGCGATAGCATTTGATAAGCATTGCCCTTCATTGACGAACGAATGAGGTCTCCTGACAGGTAAAAGCCAATGAGAAAAGTTGAAGTGCGTATCACGTGGGCTATTCCAGCATATGGGTGCCTTCCTAGCAATGCGACGTGACAAATCTTGATACTAGTAAGAACAAACCCCTTACCTGAGATCCCCTCCATGACACCTGTGCTAAACGATAGGGCGTCGTTGTTTCTGGGAAAGTCCGTACGTAGCAGTAGAGTTTTTACTTAACGAATGACGTGCTCATGCAAATGTGTTAATGTTTTTGTTTTTTTATTCGCGTTAAATAAAGTGCAGGTAAGTAATGAACGCGAGCCATTATAACGCAATTTAGCTTCGGTCATGGTATATTCTTGATATATATATTTATTTATTAATAATTTTGATTATTATACGGTATATTCGTGTCGGCGTAAGGACGAAATAAGATATACAAAAATCGCGTTTAATATACATTGAAGCAATAATTGTCTGTTTACCCTTGATCGTTGGTGTTTCATTTATATATTTACTCCTTTGCAACATACATGGGTTCGCTGATTTCTGCTGCTACTGATACTGTTGCTCATCACAAAGAGAAGACGACGACGGCGATGCCGATGACGATGATGATGATGATGATGACGATGATGATGGTGACGCCGTGTACGCAAAGCAACACTAGCATATAGAACAATAACTAGTGACAGTCTGCATGCGTACAATTAAATTAAGAGATTTCAGCACGGTGGCGATGATAGCAACAGCAGCAAGTAGATATCATCTTATATATTAGGAAAGTCCTGGCTATCAAGACTTGCTCAATACGATGAATGACGAAACATTAAAATAAGTCACCGAGTGAGAGCAGGCAGAAATTAAATTTATAAATGCCCACGTGACGAGGCTCTATAACGTCTTCTTACAATCATGAACCGCATTATTGTAGCGAGACGCAATTAATGTAACATTTCATTCTGTCACTATTACATCCTGATTTATTTCTACTTCTTCTACCACATCTCTCTTTGTTTCCCATTTTCTCAAGCTTTTTACTGTCATCTCTGCTCCATCCTTAAATCCCGTAGCACCCTACCTCCACAACCTACTATACCTACTATGCTAACCTACTACCTATACAAACATGCCTCGACTCTACATATATTTTACACCCGTGTTACGTTCGCTATCAGGCTCCTCTCTACCTTCTTCGCCTGTTCAATCTTCTCCTTACAGTCTACGTTTAATAGAGATATCGCACAACACAGTTTATAAAGTCAATCGGTTGATTAAGTTAAACAACCGCTCATAAGGGCGCCATCTAGCGTACCGCAGACACACAGCCACATTGTGAAAAGAATGGCAACTGACGGTTAGTTTTATATAATTATAAAAGCGAGTTATATAGCGAATTAAAGCGAATAAAAGCGAAATTATAAAAGCAAAAAATGCACTACTTTCCCCTGTAATTTAACTCGAGAACGGTGGATACGACATCGGAGATTTCGGGGAAGTCCATCATGACGATGTTGAAGCCTCGCTCGCACCCAGCTGCTGAGCACCGGGTTACATTTGCTCGTCAGCGCCGCCTCGTGGTCACGATCCGTATTAGCCATCATCGTCTGCGCGTCTACGGTCAACAAGCCCTGCGTCACAGCGAACTTGTTATACGGGCGCGCGTCGTACCACTGCGTCAGCTTCTCCGTCATGTCGAGAACGTGCGGGGTGTTCGGCCTGGGCGAGTACAGCCACTCGGTAGCGCTCCAAAACAACCGATGCTGTTCCACGCTCGATGCGCCCTGGTAGAGTACGATCACTTGTTGATTACTCGCCCGAATCGACTCCAGCGTTAGCTCTTGTAGCGGCCGCTGCTTGGGCGGCGACGGGACCATGATGTCTTCGAAAGTGGCGAGTAGAAACTCCTTGAGTTTCTCGTGTTCGGCGCCGTCCATGCGGTAGAAGTTCTGGAAGTGCAGAATGACGACCTCGTCGCGGTGCGCGTCGAGAAACTGTCGCGTCTCCTGCATGACCGCCTTCGCCGCGATGCCGTAGAAGCCGTGAAAGAAGAACCAGTCGTCGGTGACGTTCTCCTTGGTCGCCGTCCTGACGTCGAAGTAGCGGATTCCGGTCGTCAGCTGCTGCGTCGCCGTCATGTTCTGCGGTTACTTCGGGGTTGAATGTTGTTCTTACTGTGGAGACTGTATCTTCTGTTGAGATGTCAAGAGCGTCTGTTGTTGTAGATGTTCCTGTTGAACTAGTACCTGGTACTGGTGTTGCTGTATATGTTGATGTAACGGTTCCTGCTGAATTAGTATGTGGTGTTGCTGTGTATGTTGATGTAGCGGTTCCTGTTGAATTAGTATTTGCTGTATATGTTGATGTAGCGGTTCCTGTTGAATTAGTATTTGGTGTATATGTTGATGTAGCAGTTCCTGTTGAATTAGTATTTGGTGTTGCTGTGTATGTTGATGTAGCGGTTCCTGTTGAATTAGTATTTGGTGTTGCTGTATATGTTGATGTAGCGGTTCCTGTTGAATTAGTATTTGGTGTTGATCAACATATACAGGTAGCGGTTCCTGTTGAATTAGTATGTGGTGTTGCTGTATATGCTGATGTAGCAGTTCCTGTTGTGCTGGAAGCAGCTACGGATGTTTTACTAGTATTTGGTACTGCTGTCGAGAATGCATTTTCTGTGATCACTTTGTGAGGGTCACGTTGGAGCTTTGTTGGGCTATCGTCCGGTTTTGGTGTTGATGCATCAGCTACCGATGTCACTTCAGGAATGCCTGCTGACATGCCAGTTTCCGCTGTCTTGCCCGCAATCACTATCATGAAAATAGAATCCAGAAAACATTTTCTCTAATGTCACTTAGCAGCTAATGCGGATACATTAAAAGTCCGACTTAATATTTTATCCTTACGCATACTCTGCGATTAAACACATCTAGATCTACATGTTCTGCCATTATCCTCTTGAATATTTGCATATTGATTATGAACGGATATAGGTTTAAAATCTTACCTGTCCTGCCAAGTGCTTGCATGTTCAGTACCGATATCAATATCATAGTAGATACAAATAAGGAGCAGCCTCCCGGTCGCATTTTCTAATAAAGTACAATTGGTACATTACCATCGTAATTAGGCATTATAATGTTATACTGAATATATTATTATTTTGGTTTGATGAACATTTGTAATTATACGTGACTAATATTGTAAAAACGGCAATTTATGCGAACCAATTAATACAATTAGCAATATTTATAATT